ACAGGGTGAGGCAGTCCCTATTCTGGACCGGTCGTAACAGGCGCCAACAACATTTGAGAACCATCGGTTTGTGCCAAACAGTCGGCAGTCCGAAGTCCGGACCACCAAATAGAAAGAGCACAGGAAAGGCTGACACAGGCGCCTACCCACGCTTTCATTAATAATAGCACAGGAAAGGCAGTGTCACAGGGTAGACATCAGTTGTCGAGGCAGCCGAGACAGGCGCCTTGTGATGCCTTACAAGACAACACATGAGACTACCCATGCTTTTGTAGATGTTCGGTTTGAGAACCATCAGTTTTTTCCAAACAGTCGGCAGCCCAAAGTCCGTTCCCACAAATGCACTATCATAGAGGACAGTACAAAAAGCACAGAAGAGGCAGTATCACAGGATAGAGATCAGTTGTCCTGACGGCCGAAACAGGCGCTTTGTGACGCCTTGCAAGACAGCACATGAGACTACCCACGCTTGCGTAGTTGTTCGGTTTGAGAACCATCAGTTTGTGCCAAACAGTCGGCAATCCAAAGTCCGGACCACTAAATGCACTGTCATAGAGGACAGTAGAAAGAGCACAGGAAAGGCAGTATGACAGGATAGACATCAGTTGTCCAGACGCTCGAAACAGGCGCCTTGTGACTCTTTGCAAGACAACACATGAGACTACCCACGCTTTCATAGATGTTATGTTTGAGAACCATCAGTTTGTGCCAAACAGTCGGCAATCAAGAGTCCGGGACCTCCAAATGCACTATTATAGAGGTCAGTAGAAAGAGCACAGGACAGTCACCATCACAAGACACACATCAGTTGTCCAGACGACCGAAACGGCGCGATGTAGTCCAACATGACGAGGAAGGAAAGCCTTGTGTGTGCGTGTTGAGAACCTTCCGTCAGGTGTGGTTATCGTGTTGGATCCGATGACCAGGATACGGCTGACACAGTATCACTGGATAGACATCGGTTGTCCAGACGGCCGAAACAGTGCGATTGAGTCGAACACGACGAGGAAGGAAAGCCTCGTGCGCACATGTTGAGAACCTTCCCTCACGTGTGGGTATCGTGTTGGATCCGATGACCAGGGTACGACAGACACCACGGCACAACAAAAGCAGCAAAAACTATTCATGACCAAGGCACAGCGAAAGCACTCCACGTGGTGTGGTTGCCGTGTTGGATCAGGTTTGGTTGTCGTGTTGGATCCGATGACCAACGTAGGTTACCTTGATACGGGCACAGCAAAAGCACTCCACAGGGTTTGATTGTCGTGTTGGATCCGATGACCAGCTTTGGTTACCTTGACCCAGGCACAGCAAGTGTTGGATCCGATGACCAGCTTTGGTTACCTTGACCCGGGCACAGCAAAAGCACTCCACGGGGTTTGGTTGTCATGTTGGATCCGATGACCAGGGCACAACAGATGACCAGGGCACAACAAACCAGCTTTGGTTACCTTGACCCGGGTACAGCAAAAGCACTCCACGGGGTTTGGTTGTCGTGTTGGATCCGATGACCAGGGCGCGGCAGATGACCAGGGCACAGCAAAAAGCACTCCATTAGGTTTGGTTATCGTGTTGGACACGACGATCACATTGTGCAGAAGGAGATACAGGGACCATTTCAACCCACGGACATGCTAAATGTTGACGTCACCAAGACGCAACACAACGTCAAAGTGATCGTGACCGTCGATTTATAAACATCAACCGTTCGCAGCACAATCTTCAGAAAGAGAGATGTGGCGGGATAATTACCTGGGCAAAGGACCACGGTCGAGTCAACCGGATCACCGATTTGCGCAATAGCAGCTTCGAGCGGCGATTCACGCAGTAGCAGCTCTGCATGCCCCGCAGCTTTGCTTGCCCCGCTTGCAGCAGCTCGGCCCGCCGCACCGCACAAAAACCGCGCGCGCTCCAAAAACACGAGTCGAAGTACCCCCCGTCAGGAAATGAAGCTATCGGCATCAGTTCGCCTACTTCCCGTCGGGGGACCGGAACGCGGCGGCACAATTTTGACGTGGGGGGAAGGTCCCAAACCAGTTGGCCTACTCCCCGCTGGTCGACCGGAACGCTCAATCGACACCGTCAGTCGCTCAGATCTGACGGTCCACGTAGTGCGGAAGGGGACATTTTCCGAAGGAGGGTCGACGGTCCGATACTGATTTTTTGGTGCAGGGTCATCAGCACCGTCGGTTCAACACGATCGGACCGCCGACGGAGCGCGTGGAAGGACACGCCGCAGAGTATAAAAAGAGTTGCGGGTCCCTCCCACACTTCTCATTTCATCCTCTCCGACTTTCACGCGGGGTGTTTTCAGCGCAGGGCGATATCGGCGTTGCTTTGCCTTCAGCGCAGGGCGCTTGCGTCGCGACCTTGTGTGCACCCCAGTTGCATACACGGGCGTCGTGCATGAGGGCGTCGTGCATAAGGGCGTCGTGCATGAGGGCGTCGTGCATGAGGGCGTCGTGCATGAGGGCGTCGTGCATGTTTCTCATGTGTGCGTGTTTGTTTCTCATAGCTGGTGTGGTGGCACAGTCCAAGCACACGTCGGAGTAGGACCAAACCTTACCGTTGGAGCAGACCGTTGGAGCAGGGTCAGCGAGCGGGAGCGAGCGAGAGCGAGACTTTGCACCGACGAGCACAAAGCGAAGGACAGAGTACGGACGGTGAGGATCTGCCTTGATCCGTGAGATTCAACGAGGGCTCGCCACGTGGCACTTTCAAGCTATGTTCATCGTTCATTGTCGTGTTGAACACGACAATCACATGCGAAGCACCATAGGTGATCGTCGTGTTGAACACGATGATGGACGGCGGGGTGGGTTTCATATGGACGAGCACTGGACTGCCCTACGGGTGATCGTCGTGTTCGACACGACGATCACCCGTCGGACAGTCCTGCGCTCGCCAAGGTCATTGTCGTGTTCGACACGACGATCGCCTGCCAAGCACGACAAGTGATCGTCGTGTTGAACACGACGATGAACGGCGGGGCGGGGTTCATTGAGGGCGAGCGCAGGACTGCCCTGCGGGTGATCGTCGTGTTGAACACGACGATCACCCGTAGGGCAGTCCTGCGCTTGCCCTACGGGTCACCCAGGTCATTGTCGTGTTCGACACGACGATCACCTGCCAAACACGACAGATGATCGTCGTGTTGAACACGACGATGAACGGCGGGGCGGGGTTCATTGAGGGCGAGCGCCGGACTGCCCTACGGGTGATCGTCGTGTTGAACACGACGATCACCCGTAGGGCAGTCCTGCGCTCGCCCAGGTCATTGTCGTGTTCGACACGACGATCACCTGCCAACAGGTGAGGTGATCGTCGTGTTGAACACGACGATGAACGACGGGGCGGGGTTCATTGAGGGTGAGCGCAGGACTGCCCTGCGGGTGATTGTCGTGTTGAACGCGACGATCACCCGTAGGGCAGTCCTGCGCTTGCCCTACGGGTCGCCCATGTCATTGTCGTGCTCGGCACAACGATCACCTGCCAACAGGTGATATGTCTTCGTGTTGAACAAGGCAATGAGCTCTGGGGCGGGGCGAAAATCATTCATTATCGTGTTGGACACGAAGATTAGCTGCGGGGCATCGTCGTGCAGTTGTGTCCCAACCCACAGCTCATCGTCGTGTTGAACACGACGATGAGTTGCGGGCCGGAAATCATTCATTGTGTTGAACACGACGAATAGATGCAGGTTGTGTGTGTGCATTTGCTGATTTTTTCAATTTGGCGTGCAGGGCGTTTACCAATCGCGATGGCAATCTCGGAGTGGATGACCCCGGGACTTTGGCGCGAACGCATTGCGTACCCTTTCCCCCCATGCTCGCTGCGTGTCGAGAGTTCACTGTCATTAACGGTGTGACGAGAAACGATTTCGAGAGTGATCCGTGGATGACGGTCGTTCCGTTTTACACCACTCTCGTCGACTTGTGGCAAGAGTACGTTTGGGAGAAAATGGTCGAGGGCTGCCCTTCAGCGGACGACTACAAATTCGCGAATATGTGCGAGTTCGGGAGTTTAATTTCTGTGCCCGCTGATGTGCTATGTTCAGTTCAATGCCGTCACTTGAGTGCCACACTGTTGTTTAACCGTCGCTACAATGTTTTGGATTGTAACGTCGTGACTACTTCGCCGCGCACATGGCCCCGTTCGCTGAAACACGAGTTGCTCGCCTGTGCAAACCATTCCGATTTCATCGATGCATACCCCTTGCGCTCTCCCAGGTTGTTGCCTCGAACGGTTTCGTATTGTTCCGTTAGACTGCGTCTTGGGAAGTGCTTTTGCTGTAGAGTCCTTTGCGTCACGTGCTCGAACCGGGATGGGACCTTAACTGACGCTGTGGTCTACGTGTCCACGAATAAATTGGACCTGGGTGACGAACAGCATGCCCGGACTGTGGGGAGCGGTCAAGGGTCTGGTCGTCGTGGTCAAGTGTGGTCCGAGCGGTCGATGGTCTAGTGGTGGTCAGCGGACCCGCACACAAGACACAGTGCGGCAAGCAGTTTCGGGGGAGAGGTCTGTGCATGGACAGGCAGATAAAGTTCCCGTCATAAACTACAAACATAAATTCTTGATGTTGGACTGGGTGGGCGAGGCGGGGCTGGCTGAAAGTGGTTTGATGTGTATGTGGTGTTCAGAGAAGATATTAGACCGATAGGTGGTATTCAATCTTGGGCAGGGAGGGATGGTCAGCTCGCCACTTTCGAGTTAACTATGCAACTCAATGGCAAAGGCCACAGAGTTGCAGAGACGGACCATGTTGTTCTCATGTGGAGAAACCACAAGGGATATGGTAAGTCACTTGTGGATGTTTTAAATCCTGATCCGGATAGCCGACTCCGGTTACCTGACCTCCGCCAAGTTCTCGCGTTCTTCGACACGAATTTGGTGGAGGGCCATCGTCCGGTGGCCCACAAAGAAGACACTTTTACGGAACCGAAAAGTGTTTTGTCATCGGCGCGTCCGACTGTGGGTGCCATAACGACTTGGAAGTCATCAGTGACCACGCCCGCCATCCGGGAAGAGAGACAACACGCTCTCGTATCCACGCCAGTGGTCCCTCGAGCGGGACAAATCGCTGCCAAGGGCCCAGCTCATGCTCAGGCTCCGCCGCCGGCTCCGAAGAAATTTCGTTCGGGTTGGAGTGAAAGAGCTATTGTCCGTGTTACATGACATTGTGCGTACATCAAGCATGTGTGCCGAACCTATGTATGGTGCTGTCCACCGTGGTGTGCAGCCTTTGTATTTCGGTGATCCGGGAGAGGGGAGCAGTGGCGAAGGTTCACAGAGGGAAGAGCAAGAGGAAGAGGAAGAGGAAGGTTCTCAAGAGGGGAACGATAGTGAGAATACAATTAGTGATCGACAGCGTCGTGGATGGCAATCAAAGAAGATGGGCAGTGGCAATTTTGCTCCCACCGGTGTATGGCGCAATCACGATTTTATGCACATGCAAAAAATCAGATCCGACAGCGGCTTGCTCGACTCAATCCAAATGTTTCTCCATCGAGAGTGGACATAAGGACGAACGAGGTTTTTCAGGAGCTCAAGGCATTGCGAAGACTTGAGTACTTGGAATAATTTTATGACAGATAAACAAGCCCGACATTTGGATATAACTGGCGCATTGATGAGGGCGACGAGACCGGTGGGAAAAGGGGACAAGGCCCTAGCGGTGGAGCGAGTGGAGAGGGAGGTGAACACCCAAGTGGTGACGAGGGCGGAGGTGACAAGGGAGGATGTGATAAGGGAGGTGATAAGGGAGGGAGTGGGGAGGGTGGAGGAACATCTTAAGCGCCTGGGTATAGTCAGCCAACAACAGGCACATCAGAAGGGCAAGCCCATCGTCACCATGAGAGAAGCGCCAGTGGTGTAGGAGGGCACATCGACATTCGTGGTTTGTCGCAGGTCAAGTTGTCTACTGCAATGGAACAGGTTGACGAAGGATGTGAAGGTGGGCAAAGTGTCACCACAACACTCACAGCTGTCACAGTGACAGATAATGAATGGTGTGATGGCAGTGGCGCAAGTGTCTTCCCCGTTGGCGAGAAGGACAATATTGGTAGCCCACAAGGCCATATGTGGATGTCTATGGATATTTTGCCATATGGGTTGGGAAGCCAAGGACGGCTCAGGGCATCATTGGATGAAACCATGTATCTGGCAGAAACGGAACAGCAACCTGAGGCTCACACTCCACTTGATGAAGAGACACTCAGAGGCGACTTAGAGATTCCTGCAGAATTTCAAAGTCCGATATCAGAGGATAAAACACAACGAGGGTCTCAGGAGGCGAGTACTGAAACAGGCTACCAGGAGGAAGCTATGCTTGCGGAGGAGATGGAACCGGGCGGCGAGCCTAACATTCCATTGGATGAAGACATCCCTGGTAGCGACTTCGATACTGGTACTGGAGGGTCTCAGTATTTAGCTATTGTATTCGATACTGCTGGGAAGAACGACACTCTTGAGGGGCTTGTGGCGAAATAAGCAATTCAAGTGTCGGACATCGAAGAGGATGAAGGACATATTGTACAGACTACTCCAAGGCAATAGACACCTGTGGAGGAAGGACGAGAAAGTACACTTCGAACTCATGTGCAGCAATTCAGCCAATCTGTCAAAGTGATAAACATCGATGAATCCCCTTTCACATCAAGACAGTTCGGAGATGCAAAAAAAGACGGTGCTCAAGGGAAAAGCGCAGTTAGTCGCCGAGGTGAACACTCACCTTACGAAGTTAATATATGTGTAATATTGTACCTAGAACGAGAGATAATTTTTCGGTTTTGCATGTTGTTGTGCATTGGAACTGTTCCATGTTTATTTGCATATATGTAGTGTGCCTTATAGTGCGTCCGAATCGGTAAATGAAGCACACGATCGACTTTTAATAATAGTTTGACTCACAATACTTTACTGCTATTAATATTCATTTACATTCATATTGTCTTAGCGGATTTGTAATGATATCAAAATGATCGTTACTCATATTACTCGTTACTATCGGTGATGATTGTGCTCTCTTCATTGATGAACGTGCAGGCATGCGTAAAGGACTTTGGAAAGCCCCTCGCGTGCACTCGCAAAGGAACAGTGATTTGCAAGCCTTGTCAACACTACCGTTGTTACCCAAAACAGTTAAAAGACGAGTGCAGCCTGTGACGATCCCGTTTGTGAGGCAGCTGCTCTAAGGATGTTTAAAGCTGTGGGAATGGGGACGAAACAAGGGAAGAAATTTCACCGTGAAGTTTGCACTGTATCTGTTGTGGAAAGCGGCAGCGACAACGAAGTTGGCAAACAAGCACCGTTATGAACGTTGTGTCTGCTTCTTATATCTATTTTCAGAAAGGCACTACTTGTATGGAAGTCTTAGACATACCATTGTTGTTTACCTGTGTGTTTGTATGCAGTGCCTGACCAGTCGTTTAAGATTCCTCTAGCAACGGAACCCCTCACTGAGGTCGAGATGCAGTATGTTGAAAGGGTTGTGAAGACCGGTGAAGAAAACGAAGAATACGGCATTGTTGTTTACAAGGGTGACTGGAAGGTGGAAAAGAAAGACATTATGCTCATCATTGAAGCAGGAGGATGGTTGAATGACGAAGCCGTGAATTTGTATCTGCTGGCAATCCAGATCGACAATGATAATGCCAGAGCGAATTTGATGTCTAGAGGACAGATTAAAGACGGAAGTTCGAAGGACATTCCATCTGTGTATATTTTATATTTTTTTTTCTATATAAGGATGGCATCCGCTACGTCCAGAGAAATTGCTTACTGTGAGGGAATGAAGTGAGTTAGGGGAATAAATATTTTTGATTATAACTTTGTACTTATCTCTTTGAACTTTGGAGACCACTGGGCTTTGATATGTGTTAGAATAGACAGTTGTTAGTGTGAATTTCAGCTATTAGACTCTCTCCCTCGTGGCGACCGCCTCGCAACGCTGGAAGTAGTAGCCTCATTTTTTAGAATGAAGTTCAGACGTTAGAATCTTCATGAAAGATATCAGGTCGACGAGCTTGCGACACCTTTCGAGACGTCACTTGATGGGGTGCCTGTCCAACATGACGGTTGCAGTTGTGGTGTTTTTATGTTAGGTTTTGCATCTTTGTTAGCGAAAGGTCACTTTTCACCATTCGATTTCTTGCAAGAGAACACCCCGTATATGAGGCAGACAATATCATTTGACATTTTGTCGATGGTCGAGCATGAATGAACATTCCAAATATGCAGAGTTTGATATCATTCAACATTTTGTTGATGGTTAGTCACAGTTTCAAGTGTTATATGTCATTCGACACTTTTTTCATAGTTAAGAATAGTCTCAATAGTTTGTGTGTCATTTAACACTTTCTTGATGGTTAACAATTGTTTCTATGGTTCATATTGCTTTCCACAATTCTCAAATGTTATTGTGCAAATGATATATTGCTTTCCGAAATTTCTAAATTTTATTGTGCGAATGGCGTATTTCTCAATTGCTAATGTTACGTTCTCACCATTTCGCCTTGTTTCATCTCTATTTTCTTTATTTCTTCCTCTCTTATATGTGTTATTTTACACTTGAAAAAAAGTGAACATGAAAACAATTTCACTTTTAACGAAAACACTGTTATTACTATTATTATATTATTATTATTATATTATTATTATTATATTATTATTATTATATTATTATTAGTATATTACTATTACTATTAATTATTATATTTATTACTGCGATTATTATTGTTATCATTATTTTGTTGCCTTTACCGCTCCTCCTGATCAAATACGTGTATGTGTGTCTCGTGCCTAGCCAAAACCATGGTTGGGTTCACACAAGTTGGCCTAGAGTAAGGTCCAATCTTAGCGGGGGCAATCAGACGAAGAGTATGAGAAAACTAGATAATCAAGTGAGCAGAAGAAATAAGAAGAATATGAAAATGCAGAGAATGGAGGAAGAAAACCATATGGTATGCACAATTGATCCTTTCCTGGTATACCCTTACAAGTACGACTCTCTATCATACTGCATGTTTGTCTATGTGTTATAAGTTTACTTCGTTTTCTCCAGGACAAAGAATCTACAGAAGGACAAAATTATGCGTAATATGTATAAACAAGTTTACTTGACGGAAGCATTGAAAAAAAACATAGTCATTTAAGATTGAGAAAAAAATGGTGAGATAGATACTCAATTTTGAGTCATCCCACTGCTTATCTGTTATCAAACTAGTAGGAGGAGGCTCATGTGAGGGTTGTCCTATTACTTGTTTGAACTTAGTCTGATCTATCATAAAGAATAGGAAGACACTTCAGTGAGCGTCACTTCACTATATTTTTGAGACTAGGCGATTATGTGTTGAAGGGTGGCGAGGTGTTCCAATGTGAGTTACCCTATTACTTGTTTGAACTTGTGGTTTGCCTAGTACTGAAAGAGTGGTAGGATGCTTCAATGTTGACTATCCTTCTACTCGTGTGACGTAAAGTTATATATATATTATATGGTATTGGGCAAGAGATGTAAGAACTTAAGTGTGAATCATTATACCGCTTGTTTTTTTGCATATCATTCACACACATGTCTCTAAGTATATATACGAATAATCTTATGGTAGGCTCATAGCAGAGTGTTTCCAGTATGAGCCATTTTATTTCTCGCCTACCTGCCAAACTGTTAATAGGATGCCCCAGTGTGGGTCGCCCTATTACTTATTTGACCCTAGTTTGATTGATATTAACGGAGGGTAGGAATATTGAAAGTTGGCAGGTAGTGAGATACTCAAGTGCGAGTTATCCTACTACTTGCTTGTATATGCATAACATATATATATATATATATATATATATATATATATATATATATATATCGTGTGTGTATGTGTGTGTGTGTGTCATATCTAATTGTTTACTTATTACGTACAAACTACTTGTGTTACATCAGACAGATAGCAGGATACTCCACTGTGGGTCATCCCATTACTTCAACAGAAAAATTCCCACGAGAAATAAAAGTTAAAAAAAAATTCCATAAAAAAAGAATCCTTCATATTTATAAATTATCATTCAAATGTTCGTCCAATTCTAAAATTTTCAGTTTTATTTGATAAGTTCTCGTCTAAATATGAATTTTCCCTTTCAACTACATCTATTTGTTCAAGATGGAATAAAAGTCTGGATGAGTCTATGAAATGTTTTAATTAAACTTTCGTTCTATTACAAAAAATATCGTTTTATTTAGATTGGATTAACCTATTTATAACTGGAAATCCTTACTTAGAATAACAGTCCAATTAAAATATTTCATGAACTCATCCAGGCTTTCATTCCATCTCTACCATCTAGTTCAAATAAGAAGGGACACCTCATTCTTGGAAGGTAAGTTTTCAAGCAAGACGGAAATTTTTAAAATTGGAATAACATTTTTTAAGATGGAATAAAAATTTAAAATTTAGAATGTAATTTTACTATAGAATAATTATTTAATTCAGAAAATTTTTTATGTTGTTGTTTAAGTCAGACTGCGCTATATTCAAGAGATAATAGGTGGCTCCAGTGAGGGTCAACCAATTCTTCACTTGAATCTAAACTAATTGACAACGTAAAAGTGGTGGGATACTCTAGTGCGTGTTATCCTACTTCTTGTTCAACGAAAAAAATTCCTAGAATTAAATAATCATTCTATAGTAAAATTACAATCTAAATTTCAAATTTTTATTCCATTTTAAAACATGTCATTCCAATTTTAAAATTATTCATCTTACTTGCAAAGTTTCATTCCAAGAATAGGGTATCCCTTCTTATTTTCACTGCATGCTAGAGATGGAATGAAAGTCTCGATGAGTTCATGAAATATTTTAATTGGACTGTCATTCTAAGTAAGGATTTTCAGTCATAATAGGTTAATCCGATCTAAATTAGAAGATATTTGTTGTAGTAGAATACAAATTTAATTAAAACATTTCATAAAATCGTCCAGACTTTCATTCCATTTTGAACAAATAGATGTAGTTGGAAAGGAAAACTCATTTTTAGACGGGAACTTATCAAATAAAACTGGAAATTTTGGAATTGGACGAACATTGAAATGATAATTTATAAATATGAAGGATTTTTTTTTAATGGAATGTTTTTTCAACTTTCATTTCTCGTGGGAATTTTTCTGTTGTTGTCTGGTTGCTCACATGTTATCTGCTCGAACGGGTATTAGGGTACTCAAGTGAGGGTCATCCTACTACCTGGTTGAAGTTAGACTGCGAAGTATTCAAGAAGTAGTAGGGAATTCCAGTGACTAACTTGAATTCTACACTAACCTGTGCTAAAAAGAAATGTAATGTGACTTTTTTGTTGGGTGCTAAACGAATAGTGGGTTGCTTAAGTGAGAGTTATCCTACTTTTTCTTTAACGTTAAAGGGTAGTGGGGTACTTCGGTGCGACTTATAATATTACTTGTCTGAGATATACATATATATATATATTATTTTATCTATCGTTATCTGTTCTTATCTTACCGTTGTGTATAATAGGTGAACTGAATGGTTAAAAGGGTAGTTGG